CGAGCTTTCTTATGGACTTTTTGGAACGAAAGAAACCATAGACTCTTCACAGACAAAGAGCTCCCTTTCACTAGACTCTTTGACAATATCATTTTTCTTGCCATGTCTTGGTGTAAAGCATCTAAAATATTTGCATCTTACAGTATGGTTTCTCTTTTGACCAATTGAAGAAGTTTCATGTAACTCCATTGGTATTTGGGATTTTTATCCCCTCTTTTGTAATTTCACTCATCAATGAAATTGTGTCTTTTATATATATATATATATATATATATAAAAGAGGTGGAAAACAGCCCAAGTTACATAAAACATCTCCAATTGGTCAAAGAGAAGATAAATTGTAATAATGAAAAAGTAGAGACAATTTACACCAAATGATAACCAAAAAGGCGATAATGTCAAAAAAAAACTGAACATAAGTTTGTTCCTTATCCAAGAAAAGCCTTTGATTTCTTTCCTTCCAGGTAGTACAAAATAATGCCCTAATAAAATGCATCCAAAGAAGCTTCTTTCCATTTTAAAAGGGTGGCCCAATAATGTCAAAGATAAGAAGCTCTTTGGGTTGAGAGGTAATGTTATGGTCCATTTGAAGGCGAAAAGAATATTCTTCCAGAATATATTCGCGTAATTACAAGAGAGGAAAATGTGGCCTTAAGATTCAACACTATTCATGCACTGTGGAGAGATAAACAAATATGGCAATCTACATTGAAGCTTATCATGAGTGTCATTGATGGCTCGGTGGCTTAAGCTCCCATAGGAAGAACTTTATCTTCCAAGGGTAGCGATCTCTCCAGACTTTTTGAATGTGGCAAGGACAACTTTTCTTTCTCCTTACGTGGTCTTCCCTAGCCTCGATTGCAGACTCTAGCACGTTTCTTTTGGAAACCCCTTTAAATCAGAAGTTCTTCAAGGAAATTGAGAATCCATGTAGAAAAAACCTCAAATCAGTACGGAATTGTTTTGAACACATGAAAACTGACTCAATGGGAAGGAAAAGTTCTTTTCTTTCCTGTTAGGGAAGAAATAAAGTTATTGTGGATCAACTGTGGAAGGTTTATTGGGTCTTCTTTCTCCAATTTTTTTTTTTTTTGTGAAAGTCTACTAGGGCTGGTTCGCATCAATTTTTAGGAAGACCATTGTTTGGGTGATGGTCCCCTTTATTCTCTTTCAATCATCTCTTTCATCTATCTTTTGACAAATCCACGTATGTATGTGCCTCCGTTCGTCCTTTTGGAGATTCCATTTCAAACAATTTTTGTTTCAAGAGATCCTTGATCGATATGAAAACTTCTAATGTGTCTCCTTCGTTATATCTTTGCATAGGTTTGAACTTTGTCCTTGGTTTAGATATACTTGTGTTTCGACCCTCAAATCTTCAAATGCATTTTTGTGTAGGTTTGTTCCAATTGAGTGCCCCACCAGCCTCATCTTTTTCTCACTGGTTACTCACTTTGGAAGTTTAAAATCTCTAAGAAAGTTAAATTTTTTGCTTGGCTCATTGTTCACAGTGAGATTAATCCAAAGGTCTTCTGTGATCTTGAAGCCTCTGTGGTGTTCGGTAAAAATTTCTTAAGAGGGTTTGGTTCATGTGCATATTGAATTTGGCTTGTAACAGGGCTTATCATTCGATGTTGAAGGAGTTGCTCCATCCTCCTTTCTGAGATAAAGGTTTCAGCCTTTCTGTGGACTACTTGGGGTGAAAGAAATCAAAGGATCTTCATTGACAAGTCACAATCTTTTGATCGTTTTTTTGATGCTATAGTGTTTAAAGCTATATCATGGTGTAAAACATCTACTACTTTTCTTTACTATAGCTACACTTCCCTCCTGTCCAATTGGAAGTGTCTTTTGTAACCCATCTATGGGCTTTTGTACTCCCTTATATGGGCTCCATGTAATTTCATATATCAATGAAATTGTTTCTTTCACAAAAAGAAAAACAAAAAAAAAAAGATAAAGAAAAACAAAAAAAAAAGATAAAGGTTTCTTTTTTGGCTATTCTATGGAGCACTTAGCGTGAGAAAAACAAGATAAATTTTAGGGTCAGAAATTCATGGGTGGAGATGTGAGCCTTCACTCACCTTGATGCCTCTCCTTGGGTGTCTACCACCAAAAAGGCAAAAAGTCTTGTAATTATCCTTGTTTCTAATTTTTAGTAATTGGAACCATTTATAGTAAGTTTTTGCCTTTTCATTTTATGTTGGCTCCCTTATGTAGCTTGCCTGTGCTTTTGTTCTTCAATTCATCTTAATGAAATTTTGATTTTTCATTAAAAAAAAAGGATTACAAATTAAAAAAAAAAAAGAAAAAGAAAATAGTGAGAAGCCAAGCTTATTTTTAAAACATAAAACTAAAAACAGGAGGAATATCATGGAATGGACTCCCCTAAATAAATAATTTTTTATTCAAGATCAATTTTAGATATTCTTCATTCAATTCAGAGTAGAATAGGAAATAAATACTGATAGGATATACTATTTACAGCTATTTGGAAACTGAAGGATCAATTACAAATCTTTAATGTGCAAATAATAGTGGAAATACCATAAGAAAAGAGGCTCTTACCGTCTCAATGACCCTCCTCAGCATGAGACCACCAAATGAATGTCCACATGAAACAAACATCGCATCTTCGAGAAATGCACCGCTGGGAGTGAATAAAAGGAGAAAAAGGAAAAACATCAAAACATGAAGTTCCCCCAACCATCTTAATGTCAATATGAAATCCTCAATGAACTATGTACAACCTCGTGTAATTGTAATATTGATAAGTGAAGGTAGCTACAAGAATGATAAGTCCTAACTTCCAAACAGATAATTACAATACAAAAACAATAAATTAGAGACCAAGTGGACGAGAAAGTTAAATCTGAAATCTTTTTCCGAGTGGGATCTCAATTTTTTTTCCTGAGTGAGATCTCAATTTTTTTTTTCTGTCCTCCTTAACAAAAAAACAACATAATCCATACAAATTATGTACCAAGATCTTTTTCTTTTTGCCTTTGTAATCTTCATTTGGTTGATTGTGAGGAATCCTGTGTCCTTTAATGTAAATTTTGATCTTTCATAAAATGTCTTATTTTCTAACCCCAGAAAAAGTTATTTCTAGAAATAAATAAATAATAATATTTACAAGTGAAGGACAGATATTAAGTTAAAACAATATTCCAATCATGACATTTTTTTTTTGTATATAAGAAACAACTTTATTGAACTATATTGGAGTTAAAACAATATTCCAATCATGACATTTTTTTTTGTATATAAGAAACAACTTCATTGAACTATATTGGATATGCAAAACGAGAATAGCTTAGGACCTACATAAAGCATTTCCAATTGGTACAAACAGAAGTCCAAGAGTAATTACAAAAAAGATTGAACTTGACACTAAGAAGAAGAAACAAAGAATACCACATCCCAAAGTTGGTCAACAGTGCTTTCGTCATTCTAAAGACGTCAACTTTTTTTCTTAAACCAGCAAGTCAGTTCAGCATTGTGTTAGGACAAAAATCAAGTTGAATCTACCTACTTTTACTCCTACTTACTGTAATAATCCTTAGCCTTAATGGTTTTCCACATGCATAACTCTTTCTTTCAAAACAATATGAAAACAGAGCTCTTCATTTTGCAAAGGAACAGCTAGTTTGTAGAATAAGCGATAATATCAGGCCAAAAGGCCTCACAAGGCGGCCAAAAAGTAGAACCTAGGTCAACAACTCGAGCAAAAGAATATTATCTCTTCTACTTTTTTTTTATTTTAAAAATACTATTTCCATACTACAACGTCCACATTGAAAACTTCCCTTGGTATATATCATGGGCTGATTAAACAGTGATCACATGGTAAAATATGAGCATTACGATAAAGTTGTTCTAAATATATTGATGCAAGAAACAAGGTCGCTATGTTAAAATCCTTCTACAATACAAAATTTCTCATATCAGAACTCTCCAAAAGCTTATGTTCATATATATGAAGAATTACTTTTTCTTTTTATGTTTCTTGTTAAAAAGAATTAAACATGAAAAGAATTACATATATATATATATATATATATAAATGAAGAAATTACTAGTCTTTGAGTCCAAATCCCTCCCTCAACTCTCCCAAATTTAATATTGATATCTACAAAGAGTCCCAGAAGAATCAAATACTGTAGGGTACAGGGTAGTGATACCACAGTAATAGATACTTTCTTTCCACAGACATCACCATCCAATGGAGACTTAAAAGGTTAGCTCAAATTTTGGATTTCAGCATAGATTACAGAAAAGATTAAAACAAAAGGAACTGTAAGCACCATAAAAAGTGACTCACGATAATGGATCTGAGAGAACACTTCTTAACGAGACCTCCTTACTTTGGTCATTCCGGACTATCTGTACGTGGAAAGAAAATACAGAATTTAATAATTAAGTGCCACTAAGTACATGGGCTTAACCAGGCCTTGAACATCATGGTAAAAAATGAATTTATTTTCAAGAATTTCATATTAAACAATATATTAGCCAATTAATAATGGAAATTAATTCTTGAAAAAACCAATTTTCAGTCACTTACTATACTCTCTTGTTTGACTCTTGCTAATGAATTCTACATCATCTTGCAGCAGGGTTAATATAAAATATTAAAGGCTATCTGGATAGAATCCAAAATTAGAATAAATTTCGATGTCAATGTTATTAAGATGCTAATCTATATAACATGGGTTTCCAATGACCGAGGTAAAACACAAGAAATGAGTGAATTAATTATCAGTGAAAATATAAAATATTAAAGGCTATCTGGATAGAATCCAAAATTAGAATAAATTTCGATGTCAATGTTATTAAGATGCTAATCTATATAACATGGGTTTACAATGACCGAGGTAAAACAAAGAAATGAGTGAATTAATTATCAGTGAAAAAGAATGCAAACAGTGCTAAAATCTGCACCAGAGCTTTTCATATTTTGAATTTTAACCATGGCTTGCCATGACAAAAAAATCCAAGTTTTAACAGGGTCCTACAAAAATGGAAGTATAAAACTTACACAACTGTTATCCTTGTCCAAATGAGAGCAAAATACATCTTCTTCAGCAGAAAGATCATCCATGAATTGGCTAACAGATACTGGAACATATCTTTGGGGAATGACATGACCAGCTGCTGCAACGGGAGAACAGTCTAATATGGCATTGGTCTGGGGCATGAGTTTAAATGCAAGGGAAGTCCTACAACCACAACGCTGAACAAAGTAATTCAATCCAAGCAACAATTAAAGGGATTTGCTCAAACAGCAGATATTTTACTACAAAATAAAAAATGTGTATTTATATGAAATTATATACCTCCCACCACAATTTGAGCCCAAGGAGTGATCAGGAGCAACTCTATATGATGCAGCAGGACGAAGGCCAGCGGTAGCATGGCTAAGTGCCTTGCCAGTAAGCAGTAGCAGATCCCCTGGGGCCAACACAGCATCTGCCAGGTACCAGCGACCATTGGGATCACAAACCTACAAATGCAGAAAATAACGTGCATATGTCATCAAAGAAGGCTCCAGAAAAAAATTTAAAGCTTTAATACACTAAATTTTCAGTGTTACACATTAAATTTGAACTGTCGATATCTAAACCAGATCAATTATGAAGGTCATTGTAATACACCTGTAAACCAGGATTGTCTGATGAAATCAATGTCAATAACCCCTTCTCAACTTCAACATTCATTGCTGACTTTCCTCCTCCAACAGAACCCTTGCAATTGTGCAAAGAGCTATTATGCAAGTGCATTGCAACAAGCACTGATGAGGATACATCAGTAGCAGGAAGCGGAGTATCATCAAGCAAATTATTGAAAACACTGCAAAGTATAGATTTGTTTGTACAGATAGGTACATAAGTCCAACACAGCAAACAAAAGTAAAAGGTGGATATCCACAGCATTCTTACTCGCTTCTTAAACGAAGATGCCTAGCTATTGCGCATAAAGCAGCCCGAGCTGCTTTACCCATGCATCTAAAAGTATCAGCCATACATGGAGGACAAGAGTCCCAATCTTCCACAGCTCTGCAACAAAAATAGCTCAAAATTATAATTTAATATGCATATGAATAATGGACAACAATACATCACAGAAGTGTGAGGTCTCCATCATAAAACTTGCAACACAAGCAATCCAAAACCTAACAAAGCAAAACAACCAAGAAGCTGTCCAATGGCCCCCTCTTTGTAAACATCCCTGTTATAGTAATACTACTATTCTTTTCCAACAATGAGCATCTTGATTACAACCTTCTAGACCATAGTACTTTCTCATGAGTGTCCCAAAGGTTGACTCGGATCATCATACTAAGAAAGCATCCGAAGCACCACAGGTTTTGCTGGTACTCATCTCGTGACAAGAAGCTCACATCAAGTAATCCGACAATACCTTCTTTGGTTGTGTTTGGCTTCCCTTTTGTACTTCTCGTACATCAAAGAAAAGCTTAGTTTCTTATTAAAAACTATAAATTTTAAAAATAAAAATAAAAAGCGCTAATCTCACAATACATATGCCAAACTATACAATGTTTTGTGCATAGTGTCAACACATGAGAGTCTGAACGAATATTTATAAATGTAAATAGTCTTACTATCTATGACAAAAGTACAATAGTAATACATCACGTTATAGATTGAAAAACCAATTTACCCATGCAAACTAATAACTAATAATCTATGAATAAAGCATTCTACCATCCTACCAAAATGGTTTGACGTATTATAATCTATGCATGAAGCATTCTACCATTTTGCAACTTTTTACTTAGAAACTTCACATTATAGATTGAAAATAAATGACAATATTTTTTTTATAAATGTAATACGAAAAATTTAACAGCAAAGGATAAGAGCTTTTTGTTCAATTTCGAGAGAAGCAAAACAAAATATTTGAAAGTATTTAGAATAAAATAGAACAAGTGTGAAGATTATGGAGTAAAATAAAATTTAAATTTTAAACTTTTTTTTTCCTTAGTTTATGGGTGTCTAAATGAATTTAAGCACACTTATCTCATTTAAGGCTGAAAAAGAAGTAGTATATTTAAAATCCTAGCAAGTGGTCATTATGGTTTGAACTAGTAAAATGACTTCACAACTATGTTATTCCCATCTCGGAATTACACAACTTACTCGTAATTCTGAAGTGTTTTTTTTTTATTTTTTTATTTTTTTTATAAGAAACAATTTCATTGATGTGTGAAATTACAAAAAGGGGGGAACGAGCCCGGATAACCAAAGGATTTACATGCTTCTCCAATTCGTCAAAAGAGAATCAAAACTATAACAATAAAAGAGGGGAGATGATATACATTAAGTGATAGCATGAAAAATGATAAAAGAGCCTATCAAAAGAGATCTCTTTGCCGGTGAAGACCCTAGGATTTCTCTCATTCCATGAAAGGCCCTAATGATGTGCAACCAAAGGATCCTTTTTGAAGGGGTGACCAGTGAAAACAAATGTGATAAGGTCCTTGTTGCCAAAGGGTAAAGCCACTTTCCAATCAAAAGACAAAAGAATCACATCCAAAATTTAGATAAGAAGGAACTTGTGTGGAAGATGTGAGGTTTCATTGCTCTTACAAACACCAATTCGGAGGGATGGACATATATGGAAACCGCCATTGCAATTTAGTGAAGATTTCAGGTTGTAATTCGGTAGTTAGGGAAGAAGTATTTTGATATTGATATTTGTAGTTTTTTTTTAACTAATTGAATTTTCTAAGCTAGGATCCAACTAATGGAAGTTACAAATCAACTAATCAATTTTTACAAATCTCCTTGATTAATGATTGCAAGTTAGTTGGTTAATAAATCTATATAAGCTTTTGTAAAGCTGCATGGTTCAATAAAAATTTTCTTCAAGGTAGATCCCTTGAAGTATCTTTTTTTTTATATATATTTTTTTAACAAGAAACGAACTTTTTATTGATTTAATGAAAAGGAACATAAAATTGTTCAATGAAGGAGAGAGAAAATAAACAAAACGTAAAATAGAACAACAAACTAAGCAAAAAGAACAAAAGCTAAGGGGGAGTTTTTTTTTTTGTTGAACAAGAAACGAACTTTTCATTGATAGATGAAAAGGAACATAAAATGTTCAAAGGTACAAACTCCCAAGGGAGTGAAAAAACATAAAATAAAAAAGATACAATCCAGAATAGCAAAAATAAAAAGAGTATCATCCTGTGTATGTCTAACTAGGGAAAATGAAAGCCCCCCAATTAACATATATCATGTTTGGAGAATAATTAGCAAAAAGATTGGATAGAGCACACCATTGAGATGATAGCTTTGAAAATTCAATTAGTTAAAAGGTCTTTTTTTTCCCTCAAAAATCCTTTGGTTTCTCTCAAACCAAATCTCCGAGATGACAGCTTTGACACCATTTACCCAAAGAAGGCTCGCTTTAGGAGGTAAAAAAGGACCGAACATCAGCTGGGTAACAATCTTTGAAACATCCGCATCCATTACCCAAGAGATATAAAAACCTCCCAATTAGAACAAATCATACTCGGAGAGTAATTAACAAAAACATTGGAAAGAGCACACCATTGAGAAGCCTTAAACTTTGGAAAACTTCAACCGGATCTCGACGTTTCCCCTTGAAAAGCCTTTGATTTCTCTCGAACCAAATATCAGACAACAAAGCTTTGACTCCATTATACCAAAGAAGCCCGCTTTTGACGCGAGACACAGGCCAATCACCAGAGAATGAACGTTCTTTGCGACTTCAAAATCAAAAACCCAAGAAACCTCAAAGATTTCGAAGAAGAGTCTCCAGCAAGTGGCCGAAAAAGAGCACTGAAAGAACATATGTTGCTGGAACTCACAAGACTTGCCACACAGAGAGCAAATGGAAGGAAAAAACACCATAGAAGGGTTCTTCTTTTGAAGAATATCCACTGTATTAACTTTGCTAAAGAGGAGAATCCGAGTAAAGACATTTACTCTCTTTGGACCTTTAGATTTCCACAAAGCACCAAATAAATCCTTAGGTAAAGATGAAGACTGCTGCTTGCATAAAGATTATACCGAAAATACTCCAGAAGGTTCCAATGACCAAAGTCTACTATCAACTTCCTCACTAACCACTGCCAAACTAAGTAGATCTAGCAATGCTGAAAACTCTCAAATTCATCATCTTTTAGGGATCTCCTAGTTTCAATATGCCAAGCACGAGAAGTGGAGTCCCAAAATTGAGAGACAGGGGCATTTGGAAGAGGAGAAAGCAAAAAGATTTTAGGAAAACAAACCTTTAAAGCATCTTGTCAATTCAAATGTGGTGCCAAAAGGAAACACTTTCTCCATTACCAACTTTGAACTGTGAATGATGTTCCACCAAATTCCATTGTTTAATAATACTACTCCAAGGACAGCGACGGCAAATATTAGGGCGAGAAGGTGCTGAACAACCAAAAGAAGTGGAGCCATAAATGTTGTCTACTACCATACGCCAAAGAGAGCACGTTTCAAGACCGAAACACCAACCCCACTTTGCCAAAAGTGCATTGTTTCACTGAGCAAGACCCCCAACTCCAAGGCCACCACCCTCACGGGACTTGGAAGTGGTATTCCAATTCACTAGATGCTTCAGAGGCCCTTTCGAATTTCCTTCCCATAAGAATGTTCTCATAACCTTCTCGATTTGTTTGCAAATACCCGAAGGAATTTGAAACAAAGAGAAATAATATGTAGGTAAGTTGGCGAGGACCGAATTACAAAGAGTTAATCTTCCGCCTCTAGACAAGTGAAACCGCCTCCATCGATCTAGTTTCTTGGACATTTTCTCAATTACTGGCCTCCAGAAATCAGCAGACCTTGGATTCCCACCTAGGGGCAAGCCAAGGTATAAAAAAGGCAAAGAATCAACCTTACAATCAAGAAAAGAAGCCATCTGTTGAAGCCTCTGTTGATGTATATTGATACCACTAAGAGCTGACTTATCCCAGTTTACCATGAGACCCGAAAGCCATTCAAAGGCCTTAATCACCTTTAGCAAAGTACACAACATCTTGACATCTTCAATGCAAAAGATCAAAATGTCATCAGCGAATTGTAAATGGGAAACATGGATAAGCTTGCTGCCCACCATAAAGCCTTCAAAAAGCCCTTTGATGTAAATTCTTTCTAATAAGCTGCTAAATACGTCGCTGACTAAGAGGAAGAGGAAGGGGGAAAGAGGATCCCCCTGCCTCAAACCTCTAGAAGCGGAAATTCGCCCCTGCGGTCTCCCGTTTATAAAAATGGAAAATTTAGTACATCAAACACAGCCGTTGATCCAGCTTATCCATTTTTTCCCAAAGTTCTTACGAAAGAGAACTTCCTCTAGGAAATCCCAATCAACCTTATCAAAGGCTTTCTCGAAATCTAACTTTAAAAGCCACCCACTTTTCTTCCTCGCTTTATAATCTTCGACTGATTCAGTGATTCATTAGCAATAAGAATAGGATCAAGGATGCTTCTCCCTTCAATAAAAGCACTTTGATTAATAGAGATCGTTGAAGGCAATACCCTTTTAAGCCTCTCAGCAAGTACTTTGGCCAAAACTTTATAAACAGAATGAGCAAGGCTGATTGGTCTGAAATCCTTAACCTTGGAAGCCAACTCTTTTTTCGGCAGAAGACAAATGAAGTTTTCTTTAAGGCAAGCATTCAGATGGCCATTACGATAAAACTCGTCAAAGAAACGTCCCTTCAATTGCTGCCAAAAACGAATAAGAAATTCAGTAGTGTAACCATCGGGACCAGGAGCTTAATTCTTAACTAAAGATTTCAAAGCATGCAAGATTTCAGCCTCTTCGAAGTTTCTTTCCAGCAGAGACTTGTCTGATTTGGAAATGGGGGGCAAGGGAAGGCCATGAAAAGTGAAATATTGCCGGGCACCTTTGCTGTACAATACCTCAAAAAAGCCAATAATTTCTGCTGTAATATCCCGCTGATTGAACAAGGAAGAGCCGTTTTCATTCTGAAGTTCAGAAATTAAAGCCTTTCTTTTGCGGGCAGCCAGATACTGATGAAAAAACTTAGTATTCTCGTCTCCTTCTTTGAGCCAGTGAACTTTGCATTTTTGAATTAGGGTCCTCTCTTCCTCTGTATAGATGTTAAGGAGATCAATACAAAGGAAGAGAGGACCCTTTGAAAAGAGATACAAGAAGAACAAAAGGGACCTATAAAAAAACAGCCTAGAAAGAAGGAGTCCCTTAAAGAAACAGACTCCAATCCAAAAGAATGAGACCTAACGAATAATTACAAAAAGCCTTAGAAACTGAGCCCCATAAGGAAGTATTAAAGTGGAGCATCCAAATGGTATCAGAGCCAGCATGGCTCAATGGAGCCAATCTCAAAGGGGCATCAGGAACTTCTCTATCGAATGACAAATGATCGATGGATGACCAAATTGAACAACTATCAAGTGACAAAGTCCAAGAGGTAGGCGGAAGATTCAATCATACCTCAGCTGGAAGTTTGTTGAATATTGCCTGCCCAAGACAGTTAGAGTTACATTTTCCCTTGCCTATTTAATTCTCTATTTCCCAAAAGAGGCATTTGTTGACTTTGTTACTATACTTAATGCAACCATTCCTACCTCCCCTAAATCTTGAAGATGTGATAGATTCTCTCAAACCATAACTTTGAGAAAAAGGTTCCATTAACAGGCATGCGTAGGATGCTCTCTTTCATCTCTAAAAAGGATGCTCCATAAAGGTAGCAGCCAGATGATCTTGTACGGTCATAAGGAGATGAATACTTCTTACTTCAATTGAAGGCAAGGCCTCTAAGGCTCTAATGTGATGGTTATATGATGAACTAGTCATTGTAGGCAAAGGAGCACAATATGAATAAGTGACTCTAAGGTTTGTCATTCGCATAGGTGGTGTAGCACACACCAACTTCGAGATAAAATATGAAACGGGCTTCTATTTTGAAACCTATTATTAGTATTTGGCAAGACAATTTGCCAATTTCATCTCGAGGACAATAGAACAATTTAGGGGATAGGAAACAAAGTTTATTTTACTATGTTATTCTTCTTCGTTAAAGTTAATAAAATCTGTCAAGCTAAGATACAGCTGATTGAGGCAAGGTGATCCCCTTTCACCTTTTCTCTTTCTGTTAGGAGGGGACGTCTTCAGCAGTATTTTGGACAGCATTCATTCGGCCACTAGGGGATTGAGGCAAGGTGATCCCCTTTCACCTTTTCTCTTTCTGTTAGTAGGGGACGTCTTCAGCAGTATTTCGGACAGCATTCATTCGGGAGGTTTCTATGAAGGGTTCGTGATTGGCAAGGACAAAGTCCATATCTCCCATTTGCAATTTGCAGATGATATTCTCATTTTCTGCAAAGATAATGACAATATGTTGGACAACCTTATTCAGGCCATTAAAACTTTTGAAAGAATGTCGGGTTTCTCTGTCAATTGGGGAAAGTTGGCGATTTGTGGTATTAATTTGCAAACTGAAAAAGTTAGAAAAAGGGCGGAATTTTTGAATTGTCTGACTGCCTCTCTTCCACTTCTATATTTAGGACTTCCTTTGGGTGGTAACCCGAGATCAGCAGCATTTTGGAGCCCTATTGTGGAGAAAATTGAAAAGAAATTGGACAGATGGAATCGGTATCAACTATCGAGAGGAGGTCGTTTAACGCTTTGTAAGTCTGTCCTTTCTAATTTGCCTCTCTATTATATGTCCTTATATCAAATGCCAGCGGGAGTTTGTAAACAAATTGAGAAGAAAATGAGGTCTTTTTTGTGGAAGAGCGGTGCTTCAGGGGCTCTAAATCATCTGGTAAACTGGAATGTGGTATCTAAACTTTTGGAGGATGTCGGTTTGGGTATTGGAGGTCTTTCCAAGCAAAAGTGCAAAACAGTGCCCTGTTAGCTAAATGGGGTTGGAGATTCGGCTGTGAACCGCATGCCTTATGGCGAAAGGTGATAGAAAGTTTGTATGGTTCCTCTGAGTTAGGTTGGTCTTCCGGTTCTATGTTAAATGGCTGCCTTAGAAGACCTTGGATCAACATCTCTCGCCAATGGAGCCATTGGAATCAGTTTGCGGGTTTTAAGCTTGGGTCAGGAGATAGCATCTTGTTTTGGACTCATGAATGGATTGAAAATCAGCCCTTAAAGGATAGATTCTCAAAGATCTATCAAATCTCCACCAATCCTTCCGGATCAGTAGTTGAGTTTTGGGATGCACAGACCCTATCTTGGAGAATTTCTACAAGACGAGCTCTAAAAGATGATGAAATAGAGGAGTTCAGTGTACTTTTATATCTTCTGCATTCTCATTCTCCTTCCAATGAATTGGATAGGAGACTTTGGTCACTTGAACCTTCGGGTATGTTTTCAGTTGCATCAATTAGTAAACTATGTAGTGCTTCTTCATTGCCAAAGGCCTTATTTAAAGCTATCTGGAAATCCAAAAGTCCTAAAAAGGTCAGCTTTCTTATTTGGATATTAATTTATGGAAAAGTTAATACTAATGAAGTTATGCAAAAGAAGCTTCCCAACTTCAGTCTGCTGCCATCCATTTGTGCATTATGTTAGTCCAATGAGGAGAATATGGTGCATTTGTTCTTCTTCTGCTCCTATGCTAGATATTGTTGGAATTCTTTGTTTGAGGAATTCAACATGGTTTGGGCTTTTGGCGACAATGTGTCTGACAACTTGGTTCAAATTCTATCAGGTCCTGTTTTTAACCCACAAGTCTCTTTATTATGGATCAATGCAGTCAAGGCATTGGTGTACGAAGTTTGGTACGAAAGAAATCTTAGAACCTTTGAAGGAAAGAAGCAGTCCCCCACGGCTCGTCTTGACATCGCTAGATTTAAAGCTTCTCAATGGAGCTCCCTATCTCCTTTATTTAAATCTTATTCCCCTAGTCTGATTTGCTCGAATTGGAATGTTTTTATGGCAGTTTTTTAAGATTTTAGTTTATTTTTGTTTCATTTCAATTTTCACTCTTTCGAGAGTTTGTATCCTTGAACATTTTGTTCCTTTTCATTATCTTAATGAGAAGTTCGTATCTTGTTCAAAAAAAAAAAAAAGATACAGCTGATTGAAGGTACAATCATTAAGCCAGTGTGTTTAGATTTTCCCCTTTACTTACAGTAAACTAGTTGACTACTCAATCCATTTAAGCTGATGTAAAGCTGCGTAAACTAGCATAGATATTATCTGGTTCAGTAAACAGTTTGTTGGAAGTAGATCCCTCGAAGTATCTAAACAAATCTGGCTTTATTTGATTTCTGGTTAAGGAACACACCATGCTTAAGAACACTAAACAATTAACATAGA